AAAATTGGGACTTCAGTCCTCCTTTAAAAATGGGCGAATTCAGACTGAAACTGCAGGTTTGCGCTGACATTTTCGATGAAAAGAAGTGGATTTTCAGCGGAAAATGAGCAAATTCAAACTGGAAACGGCAACTTTTTTGACGAAAATTTGTAGGAAACTATTACTTTTTCAGAGAAAAATCAGGCATTTTTGGGATTTCCGAGGGAAATCGACAACTTTTGACTGAAATTTTCTCATTTGAAGCTTGTAAATCAACCGATTTCAGCAAAAAGGAAGCTTTTGTCTGAAAATTACCGTTTTGAAATTTTGCATCAAACAATTAGCGAGATTCAGCAGAAAAATATGATTTTTTGTTGATAATTTCATTTTAGGTGTCGTTATTATAGAGGTCTAGGCTGCTCACAAACCTTGAACGGCAATTTTCCAGTCAACTCCTGTGCCATGAAGACCATTCTGGCGACCCAGAAGAACAGAATATCGTGTCCAGTTTCCAAAACAGCCGATGGGAAGAACAATTCCATATCCTTCGTCTCATTCGGCCATCCGAAAACAGCGAACGGCCACATTCCAGAAGAGAACCACGTGTCCAACACATCCTCATCCCATTTCAATTGAATCAAATCCTCTGACACTTCGAACTTCTTAGCCGCTTTGGTCCGTGCCTCCTGCTCAGTTCGTGCCGAGACCCAATAGTCCTCTTCCTTCAATGGTTGTTCTCTGTTATCCTTGAAACTGACATAGTAAGCAGGGATCCGATGTCCCCACCAGAGTTGTCTCGAGATACACCAATCACGTGGCGACTCGAGCCATCGATTCCACGTGGCAACTTGGAATTCCGGAACGATTTTGAGCTCTCCACTGGCGACAGCATCCAACGCTTTCTTGGCCATTCCGTCGCATTTCACGTACCATTGTGGCTTGAGAATCGGCTCAATGACGTCTTTAGAGCGAGAACACATTGGAACAACCATTGGATTATCCTCTTTTCCTCTGTAAAGACCCTTCTCTTTGAGTGCTTCAATCACGGCGGCTCTGGCGTCGAAACGCTTCATTCCGGAGAATTGTCCGCATCCATTCGAAATCAATCCATCATCGGTAATACAGTTATGGAATTCCAAATTGTGTCTCAGTCCAACCTCATAATCAGTGTGATCGTGAGCCGGAGTGATTTTGACGGCACCGGATCCGAATTCCATTTCAACAAAGTCATCGGTAACGATTGGAAGTTTACGAGATGCAATGAATGGATGAATGCAATACTTTCCGTGGAGATGTTCGTATCGTGGGTCTTTTGGATGGACAGCAATACCCGAATCTCCGAGCATTGTCTCGATACGAG